GCGAGTTCGAGGCTCGGGTGTTCCACACTTCGGGCTTGGGTATGGCTGGCTGACGACGGCTAATAAGCCAGAAATGGCCATTCCAGTCTCCCTTGTCTTTGTCGGCAATACCATTCTGCCTATATATATATATATATATATACATTCCTCATGTGCATGAGAGTGCCAGAAACGACATTATAAAGCCCCACTGGCGTATAACAGGAACAACGTGCACAAGTTATTTCAGTATTTGTGCGATTGGCACATTCCTGGTGAGGAGGGATTCATTAATTACCGATTGAACGCCAGGATCCTTTGAGCAAATTACATAGCACGTCTCCTTGGACTAGCACGGTTTTCTCATTTGCCTGCCTCTGAGCAACGCAAGGGAAGATCGTCCGTATGCGAAACAGAATCCAAAATAGGGTTATTGATCAGGAGGCAATTAGTTAGTTAACCATTCTGCAACTTGTTTACGGCCGTTTTACCCTCCGTCCGAAAAAATGAGCTATAAAATGATCAGTAATAGGAAATCAATGCAGTATCAAAACAGTGTGTGGCTATGAAGGCAAACTGAACCTGGTACAGACGGTTGTCTAAAATATTTCAATGGAGTTGAAAATAGTTTAGTGCTACTTCGATGGAAACTTTTAAAGGCTACCTACCGGCCTATTTTGGGAAGCTCAGTGTGCTCCGTTCTAAATGATATTCCTATGTTCATTCTTGATTAAAAATTTAGAGAAATTCAGAAGTTTTCTGCATTCCTTAAATATGCAACAGAGTATAAACTCAATTATTTTTGTGCATGATGTTGAGTCTTAACTCAAATTTGTGGATGTGAATAGCGTGCTGGGATTTTTAGCCGTTTTGACATTCTTTCTTCAAAAGTCTTTTGCCACGTTATGACTTTCAGTACTACTGTTCGATGGCTACAGAACGATGTTGAGGGTGGGTTTATTTTTGAATAATTGCGTCACATTGTCGGCACTCATTTATCATAGTAGGCCCATTTCTGATTATTATTCTCAGTCGTCTGTTGCAAATCTTTCATGAAATTCTTAATCCTCCCATTTTAGATCAAAAACGCATGCCCCATCGCTATGCCCTACTTAGTGTGGATAAGATCTCAGTTCTGTTGAATTTTGCAGAACCAAGCCTAGAATAGCGGTAGTTGGAAGTCTAAAAAGGGATTATTAATCTCCAATTTCATCTGTCGCTAAGACAGAAACCGCCTAACGAATCCATAAAAATCGACTATACCTAACCTCAAATACTTTTGGATATTAGGGACGCGTAGATAGCAGTTTCGCCAAAAAAAACGCATTCAAAGCCTATGGAAATATATACACTTCTTTGAACAGGCCCTGAATAAATTATTACACTCGGATTTGAATAAGGAGAAACAACTGATGGTTTTGCTGGATATTTTCTTTCATGAACGAAATGGTTTTGTTCGGATGCCTTGTTTTTAAAAATCAAACGGAAAGTAGTGTTCCTCTAACCCATAAGCCTTGCGTCATTTCAAACAGCAAACTACATGACTGGTAACAGTTGCACATAGATAGTATATCTGCTTAAATTGCTAGTGAAGTCAGCTATTGTAAACCATGATTTAAACAAATAAGGCCATGCGATAAAACCAGACACGGATCTGCGGCTTAAATGTAGGCGAAGATGGAAAGAGCACTAAAATACTTATAGCTGCAGGCAGTGTGCATCAAAATTAAAATTATTCAATAAAATAACGATAGCTCAGTTCACCAGAAAAGCACCCCTTCTACTGAGCTTTTGAAAATTGTCGCACACAAGACAATGTTGTTAAAGTAAACAGGTTCCTATCCAGTTGAATAGAGAAGATGGTCCTGCAGACCCATTTTTACAAATCGTTGCCAGCCCTTAAAAACTAACTGCAAAATAACTGAGACTACGTGACCATGAGCCAGTTCAACTAGATAATAGTTGTTGCAATTTTAAAAAGCAAGGAAATATGTTACTGCGGAATAGATTACGTTTTTGTAAGTAATTTCGTGCGTCCTATTTAAGCGACCAGAATCACAGCTTTATGTTCATCCTTAGGTATCAAGTTTTGCCGCTGATCGTAAAAATAATTCAGTGTAACGACCTAGCCGCAATAATTCTTCGTTTAATACAGAATAAACCCGGAGCCGAGTTTCCGCACTTTGGTGGATAAACGGTCATCTGCGACAAAAATGTGTAGACTAACTGCCGTAGTATCGCACACGCAGTCAACCAAATCTTAAATTGTCTTTTTTATGCGGTCTATCTAGCCGCATTAAAGACGAATAATGGTTAAATGCTTTTGAGCAAATTTTACAGATTTGAATTAGTACAAATTATCGTAGTTCTCGCAGAATTATAGACTGTTCGTCTGGTTTAGATAGGAATTTATTTTATTACATTTCATTATTTCATGATCCAGAACAGTTTATGATATATATCAATATATTAGTGCTGACCACCCTATATGTATTTTGTCTAAATTCTCAACATACATTATCTATTTTCAAATACTACGTACGCTGGATGTTACAAAAAAGTGACTGTCAAACACTAATAGCTGACAATTAACTGGAAAATTTTTTCTTCATGTACATTTATTTTAAGACAAACATAACAACCGTTAACACGTAGAGAAACACAAAGCTAAACTATATTATTGTTCTGTTCGACTATTTTCCATAGTTTGTAAGCCTAGATGTTAAGCAGTGGCTGGGATTATCATACCTGTTTCTAGCATGCTAATAAGTCAGGCACACATACTGATCTGTATTTGAATTTCAATTTTTTGGGGTTAAATTAGTCGAGAACAAATATGCCTAACGTCGGAGGACCGATTACAGCAGCCTAAATACGTTTTGTGTTATATCCTGCCGATTTATTTGCTCACGATCATTCCAAATAATAAAGAGTGTAAATTTACAGAATGTCTTCTAACTCATGAAATGTTAAACGAAATTACGAAATGCGTTTTTGTTCCCAAAATATTATTTAAGTAGGTTTGTTAAACTTATCATCATGATGCATATTTTTAAAATAATTCAGTTACCTTAGGATTCCGACTTCTGGACAAACTTCCTTCCGGCTGCATGCGAAACCTATGCACTATAAAAATTATTACTTAAATGGCGTGCATTTTCTGACTGATTTTCGATGCCCTTAAAAATTTAATTATATTTCATGGGAAGCATGCATAAACATATTCATTTTTTACTCACTCAGTAGGAAATTACGTCTTTTTCCAGTTTTACATCCGAAGAAAGCGTGCAATTTGGTTTTCAAGAACCTTTCTAATTCACGCATAATGT